TAAAAATTATTATAAATACCCTTTTTGCTCCTTTTTATAAGTGATCACATCCCCTCTGTTCTCAGCTGCAGAAGGAGCTCAGAGAGCTAGGGGAGGAGAAACTGCAGTACATTGATCTTCCCAGTTGGGGGGGAGGCGTGTCAGCACCAGTATGATCATTGGAGGAAAGCAGGCTGAGTTCCCAGTACAGCCAGCAATACTGACCACACTGTGCTCTTATGCCTAGTGCGGTCAGTTTGTAATAGGAAGTCAAGGGGACTGGCAGGAACACCAGGGATTCCACACAAAGGAAGCAATACGAAGAGAACAGGACACGTTTTCATACAAGTACCTGGTACAGCAGGCACATATCAGACATATGAAATGTTTGCATCATTAAATGTTTATTTTATATGCAAGTAATACAAATGCCTGAATTTGACTTTGTATAGCCTCTTGCAGTCTGCTGTACAGTAGAGCTCAAAAATTAAAAAGAAGCCATTCAGATAGTAGTCGAAGGCAGAGAGGTCATTAGTGCTCTGCTTCTACTTTTACTGTCCAGTCACGGAGTGGGGAAGAAAGGTGAACTGTAATTGAAAACAAAACTGCAGCAGAAAAAAAATCAGGCCCCTACCCCTGCTAGACACAGGTGTGCTATGTGGCAGAGGTGTGCAAATTTAGGTCTGGATGGATAGAAATGCAAATCTTTTTGGCAGGCAAAACAGCTTTTATATGTGTATTAAATGTGTGGATTTAACCGTTTTTCTGGAGTTTGGCTTTAATGGCATGACTGTTACACTGTTCACTGCTCCCTGAAATAACCACACTGACAACAAAAATACTTTTAACCTCCTCGGCGGTATGATTCTTTCCGATTTTTTGTGCTGAAAGCGGTAGCAATTTTTTTGCATAGAATATGTAGTTTTTTATTGTAGGCTGTAATTTTTAGGAATAACTCACTGAAATCTGTCCGAACAAGAGTCTAGTAAACATCCCGGGTATGATAAAACTTGAAACACGAAATCATAAATTATAATTTAATAAATAATCATAAAAAATAATAATAAATATAATAATAATAAATTTAATTCAATAATATAACACTGTTCAACAAATTTTTATTTTTTGCCAGTTTTGGAAACAAAAGGATCCATTTTTTAATGAATTTCACATTCTGAGTTCAAATATAACAATGAAATTTGTCAATTGCCTCTAGTTATTCTGTAAACGGAAAGTTTTCTACTATAGGCGTAATGACTACATAATGCACAAATTATATAGATAGATATCTTTCCACAAATATAAAGCAAGTGATATTGACTACATAACAAAGCCTAAATGGCATAATATATTGCATAGGATTACCAAGAAAAATTATAGCCATAAGCTAAGTTGAATCAATTTAATACTTAGGATTCTCACTAGTTTTGTCTTCAGTTTGTGTCAGTTTTGCTTCTCTTGGCTTTTCTCTTGTATTCAAGGAAAGGGCTATCTCTTACAACTGCACGTGACTACACGCTTCAGGTTCTTCCTCACTTGACTCAACCACAAAGGATTCTGGTGCTTTAGGAATTGGTAGCCCCTCTCCATGAGGAACTGGACGTATTGCCGATGGAATATTTGGATAGTGCACAGATAACTTTTTCTTCTTATTTAGCCCTTTTACAATTGGAGGCACCATACAAAAGTAACAATTACTAACATGATCTGTTGGCTCTCTCCAAATCATTGGCACAGCGAAAGGCATAGATGCCTTTTTTTCCATTCAACCATTGCTCCAGTGCCGTCCCACAAGCATTGCAGCATATATGTGGTGCCCAGCTCTTGTCCTGGTCTCCTATCTTGCAGCGAACATACAAGTTGTAGGCTTTCTTAATCATTCCTGTTATCCTCCTTTTTTGTGAGATAAAAGTTATTTCACCGCAGATATAGCAGAAATTATCTGCTTTATTCACACAAGTTCGAGGCATTACTGAGTAGCCTATATAAGCATAAAACGAAATGTAAAGACGCTGTCGAACTACAATCAGCTACAGATACTGCAGCTTTTATGCAGTGAAGTGATGCAATTAAAGGCTAATATTGCATCATCTCAGTATACATGCAATTTTCTATTGGTCACCAGTATCAATTGCGCAATATGCAGCTGAAGTTGCATCATAATTTTGAATGGCTTACGTCATTAGATGGGTGAATATATCATGGAAACTAGAGCCAATCAACATTTTTTAGGGTCATTTTCGTTTTCAGCACCCCAAAATTATGTAAGATTAGCTAATTTTATGCCCAAAACTTTTTACCTGTTGAACAGTGTAATCAAACCAAAAACACTGAAATTTGAAATACAGAGGCAAATTCGCACATCACTGAGCAAAGTCGCAAAATCGTTTTCAGTGTCTGATGACGAATTTCCCCACGAATCATTATCACTCAATTCTGCAAGTGGTTCTGATTTACTATCGCTGTTCTCTAGCTGGTCTAAAACCGCTTTTGACGTAAAGGGACGCTTTTTGGACGCCATGGACTTTTCTAAGTTTCCAGGCAGAAAGAACAGTCAAAATGCAGGCAGGGCACAGGTGTATGGTATGGGCTAGCCTGCGGTGCAGCACAATAGCTTACAATCTTACACAAATCTACAGTATTCCCTCTCCCATAACTGGTCCTGTAGCATGTGCCTGAGTATTCCTTCTGAGCAAAACGCCAGTCTGGCTTGAGTTTGTAGGATTTTATCAGCTCTCCAATGTGAAATGTCACTTTAAGTTGTGGAGTCCTTCCAATGATCAGTAACAACACTTGTGTGGCCTGACACAGAGACCCTAACTAACTAACTATAGGCCTGGACTCAGTCTCTAGGCACCAACACTGAAATGAGGTGCGTGCACGATCTTACTGACCCGTCTCTGCTTTTCATCCGCTGGTGACTCTGAACAGAACAAATGTCTCTGTCAGGGCTCCAGGGTATGACCAGAGGTATGTGACTGACGCAGGGAAACGCAGGCTTCAGATATGTTATAAATATAATTTATTAACACTAACAATACATAAACGCAGTGCAATACTAAAACATACACAGTGCAAACGAACCAAACCAAACCACCCACAGATAACAGTACATACAATGCAAGCGTCGTCAGGCAGGCCGGGATTATCAACAGGAGGTCAGAACGTATGGGGTTAAGCAGGAGAATGGTCAGACAAAGCCAGGGATCAGGAGCAGGAGAATGGTCAGACAAAGCCAGGGATCAGGAGCAGGAGAATGGTCAGACAAAGCCAGGGATCAGGAGCAGGAGAATGGTCAGACAAAGCCAGGGATCAGGAGCAGGAGAATGGTCAGACAAAGCCAGGGATCAGAGCAGGGTCAGCAACAAATCAGACAGGAACAGGAACAGGGAGCAGGAACAGGATACAGGGCCCAGGAGAAACACACACACCAAGGCAGAGTCTGCAGGTCTGGCCATCCCTTAAATACACCAGTATGAGCAGTTTCAGGTGTTTAGCTGGCTGCAAGGTTGAGTCTCTGATTGCTGGGAGCACCCGCTGGCCAGCCCTGGTACTACAGCCCATAAGGCAGGTGAGTCCCACCATTGCTGGCCAGTCCATTCCTGACAGTACCCCCCCCTCAAGGAGCGGCCTCAGGACGCTCCAAACAGTCCTAGCTGGGCAAAATGTTCCACCGCCCGGGTCTGATAACTGGCGGGATATCAAAGACTGGCACACCGGGCAGGACTCCGGGCAGCGGCACACCGGGCAGGGCTCCAGGCAGCGGCCCATCGGGCAGCGGCACACCGGGCAGAGGCACATCGGGCAGAACTCCGGGCAGAGGCACATCGGGCAGCGGCACACCGGGCAGTGGCACACCGGGCAGCGGCACATTGGGCTGGACTCCGGGCAGCGGCACATCGGGCAGGACTCCGGGCAGCGGCACATCGGGCAGGACTCCGGGCAGCGGCACATCGGGCAGGACTTCGGGCAGCATGGCACATCGGGCTGGACTCCGGGCAGAGGCACATCGGGCTGGACTCCGGGCAGAGGCACATCGGGCTGGACTCCGGGCAGAGGCACATTGGATCACCAGGCGAAGCAGCACAGGCAGCGGGCCACCAGGCGGAGCAGCAGGCCCCGGGCCCCCAGGCGGGGCGACAGGCATCGGGCCCCCAGGCGGAGCGGCGGGCCCGGGGCCCCCCAGGCGGGGCGACAGGCATCGGGCCCCTAGGCGGGGCGACAGGCATCGGGCCCCCAGGCGGAGCGGCGGGCGCCGGACCCCCAGGCGGAGCGACAGGTCTCGGGCCCCCAGGCGGAGCGGCGGGCGCCGGACCCCCAGGCGGAGCGACAGGTCTCGAGCCCCCAGACGGAGCGGCGGGCGCCGGACCCCCAGGCGGAGCGACAGGTCTCGGACCCCCAGGCGGAGCGGCGGGAGCCGGACCCCCAGGCGGAGCGACAGGTCTCGGGCGCCCCAGGCGGAGCGGCGGGCGCCGGGCCCCCAGGAGGGGCGACAGGCATCGGGCCCCCAGGCGGGGCGACAGGCATCGGGCTCCCAGGCGGGGGCGACAGGCATCGGGCCCCCAGGCTGAGCGGCGGGCGCTGGACCCCCAGGCGGAGCGACAGGTCTCGGGCCCCCAGGCGGAGCGACAGGTCTCGGGCCCCCAGGCGGAGCGGCGGGTCACCGAGTCACCAGGTACGACAGTGGGCTCCGAGTCAACTGGCATGACCGCTGGCACTGGGTCAGACATTGGATCGTCTGGCTGGACAGCGGGCATCGGGTCACCAGGCATCTGGTCATTTGGCTCGACAGCGGGCACCGCGTCATCTGGCAAGGCAGTGGGCTCCGAGTCAACTGGCATGACCTGCGGGCACTGGGTCAGACATTGGATCGTCTGGCTGGGCAGCGGGCATTGGGTCACCAGGCATCAGGTCATTTGGCTCGACAGCGGGCACTGCATCATCTGGCAAGGCAGTGGGCACCAAGTCACCAGGCACGACAGTGGGCTCTGAGTCAATTGGCATGACAGCGGACACCGGATCAGGTACCGGATTGTCTGGCTTGACAGCGGGCATCGGGTCACCAGGTATGACAGCGGGCACTGGGTCACCAGGCATCAGGTCATTTGGCTCGCCAGCAGGCACCGCGTCATCTGGCAAGGCAGTGGGCACCGGGTCACCAGGCATTGGATCGTCTGGCTCGACAGCGGGCATCGGGTCACTAGGTATGACAGCGGGCACTGGGTCACCAGGCATCAGGTCACTTGGCTCGCCAGCGGGCACCGCGTCATCTGGCAAGGCAGTGGGCACCGAGTCACCAGGTACGACAGCGGGCTCTGAGTCAATTGGCACGACAGCGGGCACCGGATCAGGTACCGGATCGTCTGGATCAACAGCGGGCATCGAGTCAACTGGCCTAATAGGATCATCAGGCTGGATCAGTTCATCAGGCTGAGTGGAGGCATCAGGCTGAGTAGAGGCATCAGGCTGAGTAGAGGCATCAGGCTGAAGGGAGGCATGAGGCTGAAGGGAGAGCATCAGGCTGAAGGGAGGCATCAGGCTGAAGAGAGGCATAAGGCTGAATAGAGGCATCAGGCTGAATAGAGGCATCAGGCTGGGTACAGGCATCAGGCTGGGTACAGGCATCAGGCACAGGCATCAGGCCGCCGGGTACAGGCATCAGGTTGAAGTGCGGGGTGCCGAGGCACCAGGCTGAACCACGGAAGGCAGGTTCTCAGACGGCAGGCTCACCGGTTTGGATACTGGCAGGATGGTATTGGTTGGAAAGAATTTTTGCTTTTTTCTGGTTTTAACTACTGGAGCACTGCAAGTAAACGCAGGTCTGCAAACGAATGGAGCAGCTGGAGACAGAGAAGAACTGGAGGATGGAACAGGAGAGGGAGCAGTTGCTACAGAGGGCTTTTTTACAGGGTTAAAGGCAGGATAGGTGCAGCGAGTGGGAACAGGGTACAGACATGCGGTAGATAGCAGGGCAGGAGGAGCTGTTGGGAATGCAGGAATAGAGCTTTGAGGAAATAGATTAGAAGCAGGACTGGGTTTTTGTAAGCTGACTGAGGCTGGGTGCAACAAATCTGTCCATGTCCGCAGTATGGGTTGAACAAAGCTCAGCTTACACAAAGCCTGTCTGGTCAATGACTGCACTGCGTTTATACAATCTCTTAGTGTCTGTGGTGAACATGCAGCATAATGCTCCAAGAAGCAATCCACATCATCCTCTAATAACCATACCAGGGACTCTACCTGGTCGGCACTAAATGGCGGCAAAAATTCATCCCTGCATTCAGGGGTACCAGATGAAACCAAACTCCGCACAAACCTGAATCAATGGCTGCACCTCAGAGAATTCTGTGCTCTGATCTACTAGAACATGAGCAAGCCGTATACATTCTAGCAGTTCATCCCAGGATATACTCCTTCAGAGTTTGATAAGCATATTCTCTGTCATCAAACACTAGCAGATATAAATACACAACCTCATCCAGATCCATCCTTCCCATCAACAAACCAAGATGGCTTCCCTGTGCAGCCACTTCTGGTCAGGATTGGCCTTGGTGTAATGTCAGGGCTCCAGGGTATGACCAGAGGTATGTGACTGATGCAGGGAAACGCAGGCTTCAGATATGTTATAAATATAATTTATTAACACTAACAATACATAAACGCAGTGCAATACTAAAACATACACAGTGCAAACGAACCAAAACCAAACCACCCACAGATTGTACAGTACATACAATGCAAGCGTCGTCAGGCAGCCGGGATTATCAACAGGAGGTCAGAACGTATGGGGTTAAGCAGGAGAATGGTCAGACAAAGCCAGGTCAGACAGGAGAATGGTCAGACAAAGCCAGGGATCAGGAGCAGGAGAATGGTCAGACAAAGCAAAGCCAGGAGAATGGTCAGACAAAGCAGGGATCAGGAGCAGGAGAATGGTCAGACAAAGCCAGGGATCAGGAGCAGGAGAGAATGGTCAGACAAAGCCAGGGATCAGAGCAGGGTCAGCAACGAATCAGACAGGAACAGGAACAGGGAGCAGGAACAGGATACAGGGCCCAGGAGAAACACACACCAAGGCAGAGTCTGCAGTTCTGGCCATCCGTTAAATACACCAGTATAAGCAGTTTCAGGTGTTTAGCTGGCTGCAAGGTTGAGTCTCTGATTGCTGGGAGCACCCGCTGGCCAGCCCTGGTACTACAGCCCATAAGGCAGGTGAGTCCCACCATTGCTGGCCAGTCCATTCCTGACAGTCTCTCTAACAAGCATGCGGTCTCGCTGTATATTTTGCTTAGTTCCTCTGCTCTCATCAGCATTCCTGGCAGCAATCTCATCAGCTTCACTTAGCTGCAGCTCTTTTTACGGAGGGATGCTTTCACACCTGGATGTCATCAGATTCTCAGCTCACAGGGCCCCTTATTCACCATGCTCTAAAAAAATGGCTGCTCTCTCTCTCTCTCTCTCTGTATGAAAAACTCCACCTCTTCATGAATATAGAAATATCTATGCAGTCTGAGGCTGAGTGTGTGTTAGAAAAACAGTGACATCTTGTGGCTAAACTACAGAATTTAGAGTTTAATTTACTCCACACAAGCAGTATTCAAAACAATGAGAGCTGTTTCCCCATCTCACATGCCACCCCACTAGAGGTTGTCGTCCTCGGCAACCCTCCCCATACAAACTCATTCTGGGCATAACGCTGTGGGGGCACACCAGCATTGGGCCTTGTTGACCTTCGTAGAGTGACAGGCTCAGAAGCACTGGGGACGTCAGGCACATTTAATGGGAGAGGAGCTGCTGACCACTCAACACTTTCCCTCGGTGGCAAACTTGCTATGGTTGGAGCCTCTGTGGGTACCGGGGCAGGGACAACCCACCATTCCTCCCCCTCCTCTAAGGGGATTTCCTCTGTACTCTGAGCAGGAGGAGCCATCCCCTCCACGCACACTGGTTCATAAAAATTACAACACCTCAACATGTTTCGATGCAAGTTTCGTGAGGGCCCCCCAGTCCCTATTGGCTCTACCTCATAGACCGGGATGGCATGGTCTACCCTCCTCTTCACCATGTATGGGACAGCCTCCCACCGCCCATCCAACTTTCCAGATGGCCGCTTGGCTTTGACTATCACTCGACCACCCGGGGCATACTCCTCCTTCTGCACTGGTCTTGGATTGGGGTATACTACTTGTCAAAGGCGCTCCCCCACAACCTTGTGGATTGCTCTCAGCCGGCGGCGGTGCTCTTGCGCCCATGTGGTAGTATTTCTTGGTGGTGGCTCCATCGGATCGGGCATGTGGAGATCTTCAATCTCCTGTCCAGCTCTCCCAAACATGAGCATATGTGGGGAGTATCCGGTGGTACTGTGTACCCTGTTATTATAGGCCCACATCAGTTCAGGTAGGTATTCGGGCCACCAAGCTTTTTGGCGGTCCTCCAGAGTCCGCAGCATCTGGAGCAAGGTGCGGTTAAACCACTCGCATGCCCCATTTCCCTGGGGGTGATACAGGGTGGTGCGGGAACGTTCGATCCCATACAGTTGGTACAACTCATTCATTAGAGTACCCTGAAAACATGCCCCCTGGTCCGAATGTATTCTCTGTGGACACCCGAACACCTCTATAAGTGTTTGCAGACCGCTTCAGCGGCCGACTCTGCCGTCTGGTCTCTGGTGGGTACAGCCACCGCATACTTTGTGAAATGATCTGTCATGACTAGACAGTATGAGTGTCCCGAGGTAGAATACCCAATCTGTACATAATCGATCATAAGGAGCTCTAGGGGTGCTGATGTCCGGATGGCCTGGACAGGAGCCCACTGTTCAGTACTCTTACTCAGCCCGCAGGGCCGACACTTAAGACATGCCTCGGCCACCATATATGCCAAATCTGGACAGTACACGAGCCGTTGGAGCCACTTGAATGTTTTATCGCTCCCAAAATGGGCACCCCCTCTCATGGGCTTCCGGTCCCAATGACATGGGGATGACAATCTGTCGCCGGTACTGCAACTCTGACTGCAAGTATATGGTCCGACACAGGAGACCCTGGGTAACAGTTATCTTATCCCACTGCCTCAACAACTTTTGGCCCTCGGGAGTCAGACAAGCCCGCTCTTCTGACCGAGGCCAGATCTTGGTCCGGACCCATTCTTTCACTTTCCACAGGTCCGAGCAGCTATCCTGGACCCTCTCCCAATCAGCCAATGTCTTTCCCAGCACCATTGGCATCCCGACGCCACCCCACTTGAATGTGTCACAATTAGAGATGAGCAAATTATTCAAAAAATTCGATTCGGCTGATTCGCCGAATTCGCGGAATAAATTCGATTCGAGGCGAATATATTCGCTGCGAATTTAACTTATAAAAAGGGTGTTTCTAGGCTTCAGAGAGCCTTTATATTAGTGCAGAACACTGTACCTTTAATTTAAATGCCCTTGGAGTCTGCTGGGGAAGAGAACTAATACTGTCAGTCAGTACGACATGCAGATGAGTGCCGTCGATCTTAGAATCACCGCACACTTCACTCATTTGGGCAGTCACGGGGCCAAAACCAGAGTGTGGAGCCACAGTGTGTGGCGGTGGAGGCAGCAGCAATGGGGAGGCCATACAGCACCCTATGACAAAATGGAACCCACCAGCAGTGTGAGGAGACCTGAAAGTGGCACATGGCAGAGTGTGGCGATGGAGACAGCAGCAATGGGAGGCCGTACAGGGACCCATGACACACTCTGGACCTGGCAGCAGCATGAGGAGGCGGCGGTACAGGGGGCCATGACAGATTACGGGCCTGGCAGCAGCAGTGGGCGGGCGGTGGATGCAGCAGTATTCGGAAGCCAAACACAGGCCTCGGTTAAAAAGCGGAAGCCGTCAGCAGCGTGAGCAGACGACAGAGGCACATGGCGCAGGGTGGCGGTGGAGGCAGCAGCAATGGAAGGCCATACAGCACCCTATCACAAAATGGAACCCACCAACAGTGTAAGGAGACCTGAAAGTGGCACATGGCGCAGGGTGGCGGTGGAGGCAGCAGTATTCGGAAGACATACACAGGGACTAGGTTAAAAAGCGGAAGCCGTCAGCAGCGTGAGCAGACAACAGAGGCACATGGCGCAGGGTGGCGGTGGATGCAGCAGTATTCGGAAGCCAAACACAGGCCTCGGTTAAAAAGCGGAAGCCGTCAGCAGCGTGAGCAGACGACAGGCACATGGCGCAGGGTGGCGGTGGAGGCAGCAGCAATGGGAGGCCATACAGCACCCTATGACAAAATGGAACCCACCAGCAGTGTGAGGAGACCTGAAAGTGGCACATGGCAGAGTGTGGCGATGGAGACAGCAGCAATGGGAGGCCGTACAGGGACCCATGACACACTCTGGACCTGGCAGCAGCATGAGGAGGCGGTACAGGGGCCCATGACAGATTATGGGCCTGGCAGCAGCATGAGGAGTCGGTACGGGGGCCCATGGCAGATTACGGGCCTGGCAGCAGCATGAGGAGGCGGTACAGGGGCCCATGGCAGAGTGGCGGAGCATAAGCAGCTAAAATTGAAGGTCATACAGAGGCCTATGTTAAAAAAGTCCCCCCAGCAGCAGCGTGGGGAGACGACTAATAGTCGTCTCCCCACGCTGCTGCTGGGGGGACTTTTTAACATAGGCCTCTGTATGGCCTTCAATTTAAGCTGCTTACGCTTCGCCACTCTGCCATGGGCCCCTGTACCGCCTCCTCTTGCTGCTGCCAGGTCCAGAGTGTGTCATGGGTCCTTGTACGGCCTCCCATTGCTGCTGACTTCATCGCCAGACTCTGCCATGTGCCACTTTCAGGTCTCCTTACACTGTTGGTGGGTTCCATTTTGTGATAGGGTGCTGTATGGCCTTCCATTGCTGTTGCCTCCACCGCCACCCTGGTGGATGCAGCAGTATTTGGAAGCCAAACACAGGCCTCGGTTAAAAAGCGGAAGCCGTCAGCAGCGTGAGCAGACGACAGGCACATGGCGCAGGGTGACGGTGGAGGCAGCAGCAATGGGAGGCCATACAGCACCCTATGACAAAATGGAACCCACCAGCAGTGTGAGGAGACCTGAAAGTGGCACATGGCAGAGTGTGGGCGATGGAGACAGCAGCAATGGGAGGCCGTACAGGGACCCATGACACACTCTGGACCTGGCAGCAGCATGAGGAGGGCGGTACAGGGGCCCATGACAGATTACGGGCCCCTGGCAGCAGCATGAGGAAGTCGGTACGGGGGCCCATGGCAGATTACGGGCCTGGCAGCAGCATGAGGAGGCGGTACAGGGTCCCATGGCAGAATGGCGGAGCGTAAGCAGCTAAAATTGAAGGCCTTACACTCAGAAGTTCCTCCCTGAGTAACTGTGTGACTACGTTCGCCAAGGCATACCAGGTGCAGCACAGCGTGACACCGTTGCGCCCTGCACATGTGATATGCCGGTCGGGTAATGGGACTTGGCACAGGGGTGGCGGCTGAGGACACGGCGGAAGAAGAGGTGGTAGAGGCGGACATCTTTGCTGGACCAAAGGACGTGCAAACGTGGAGGCAAAATTCTGTGTCCCTGAATTAACGGCGGGACCTGTCCAAGTTGCTGGTGCGGCTGCGCCGGCACCACGTTCACCCCCCTCAGTGGGCCGTAAATGACATTAGTTACAGCTCCACACGTCTGGCGCTGCCGTGCACTTTGGCAGAGACCGACATGCTCAAAGACTGGCCCACCATCTCTTCTACATGTGAATGCAGGGCTGGCAACTGCCTTTTTTGGCGAAGAAATGCCGGCTTGGCACTCTCCACCACGGCTCGGCACAAGCCATCATTTCTCAAAACGTGCTGAGTCCCCTCACTACTTGGAAAGGGAGGGACTGCAGCACCAGCAACAATTAACTTGGACAGGAGACGTTCAGCTTCTGTCACCGTCGGGTGCGTGCTCGCAAACGATTCTGTTGTCCCTTGGAAACAATTCGGATTCCAAGAAAGACTGTGCTGAACGGAATCTGTGTCCCCGAGGAGTAACAGGAGAAGGAGCATCCTGAACGAAACGCGGAAGAATGCAACGTGCGACAACTCCCCTCCCTAGCAGAGGTGTGTGGAGCCTTGACTGGTTCTGATAGAGGGGCGATTGACGTCGGGTACAATTCTGTCGGAGCAAGTAACGGAGCGGGTGATGGAGCGGGGGCTGGTGCAGGCGAGAACCGCCGTAAACATTTATCACGGTTTTTCGCAGGCCACCGACGCTGCATATGCTGACGCAACGCTGTAAGTCCCAACATGGGCCCCCTGGCCCCCACGCTTGACTTTCTGGCCACATAGTAACATTCGGCTACGTTTACTTTCCTCGTGCGGCCTTGACGAAAATTGCCACACCGCCGAGTAGGAAAATTTGCCCCCGCTACTCCTCACTGGCTGACTGCTACTTCCTCCGTGCACACCGGCACCCACTACTGGCCGTGGTGGTAGGCTGCAGTGGAGCTGGTGCTCTACTCCGTGGCCGTTGTGCCCTCCACTGACACCTGCTGCGACCCTGGCCTGATGCCCTGAACGAACGGTTGTGTCTGACGTACCCACCGTGACCGTTGGCTGTAGGTGTCAGAGGTGACCTGGGAAGAGGAAGACGACCGAGTAACCAATCGATGACGGCAGGGTTGTCGTGGAGTACACGACCGCTGGATGACACCTGGTAGCACTGGCCTCTGGCTGCGACTAGTGCTGCCTCGACCCCCCTTCCTCTGCTGCCACGTCTGCTCGCTCCTGAAACATTGCCTCCTCTGCCACTCTTCTGCGTGATTGTGTCTGACATACTCTTTAATTCAATAGTGTCCCCTGTGAAGCAGAAACGATTCAGTTGTCCCTGAGTAACGATTCTGTGTCCCTGAGTAACGATTCTGTGTCCCTGAGTAACGATTTCTGTGTCCCTGAGTAACGAATTCTGTGTCCCTGAGTAACGATTCTGTGTCCCTTCTGTGTCCCCTGAGTAACGATTCTGTGTCCCCCTCAGTAACAATTCTGTGTCCCTCAGTAACATTTCTGTGTCCCTGAGTAACGATTCTGTGTCCCCGATGAGTAACAATTCTGTGTCCCTTCATGTGGTCCGACCCGAGTAACGATTCTGTGTCCCCGAGTAACGATGTCCTCTGAGTAACAATTCAGTGTCCCTGAGTAACGATTCTGTGTCCCTGAGTAACGATTCTGTGTCCCTGAGTAACGATTCCAGTGTCCCCTGATAACGAATTCTGTGTCCCTGAGTAACGATTCTGTGTCCCTGAGTAACTGATTTCTGTTGTCCTCAGTAACGATTCTTGTGGCCCCTCAGCAACAATTCTGTGTCCCCTGAACAATTCTGTGTCCCTGAGTAACGAAATTCTGTGTCCCTGAGTAATAATTCTGTGTCCCTGGAGTACAACGATTCTGTGTCCCTGAGTAACGATTCTGTGTCCCTGGAAGTGTGTCCCTCAGTAACGATTCTGTAGAAAACGATTCTGTGTCCCTGAGTAACGATTCTGTGAGTAACGATCCCTCAGTAACGATTCTGTGTCCCTCAGAGTAACGATTCTGTGACCCTCGATGTGTCCCTGAGTAAACATTTCTGTGTCACACTGTTTTTTTTTTCAAACAATTCTGTGTCCTGAGTTAACGATTCTGTGTCCCTCAGTAACGATTCTGTGTCCCTGAGTAACAATTTCTGTGTCCCTGAGTAACGATTCTGTGTCCCTGAGTAACGATTCTGTGTCCTCTGTAGTTATACGAGTAAACAATTCTGTGTCCCTGAGTAACGATTCTGTGTCCCTGAGTAAACAACAGTGTCCTGTGAGTAACAATTCCTAGTAACAATTCTGTGTCCCTGAGATTCTGTGTCTGTCACTGAGTAACGATTCTGTGTCCCCTGAGTAACGATTCTGTGTCCCTGAGTAACATTCTGTGTCCCTGAGTAACAATTCTGTGTCCCTGAGTAACGAATCTCTCTGTCCTCAGTAAACGTCCCCTCTGAGTGTCAATTCTGTGTCCCTGAGTAACGATTCTGTGTCCCTGAGTAACAATTCTGTGTCCCTGAGTAACGATTCTGTGTCCCTGAGTAACGATTCTGTGTCCCTGAGTAACAATTCTGTGTGTCCCTGAGTAACGATTCTGTGTCCCTGAGTAATGATTCTGTGTCCTGAGTAACAATTCTGTGTCCCTGAGTAACAATTCTGTGTCCCTCAGTAACGATTCTGTGTCCCTGAGTAACGATTCTGTGTCCCTGAGTAACAATTCTGTGTCCCTGAGTAACAATTCTGTGTCCTGAGTAACGATTCTGTGTCCCTCAGTAACAATTCTGTGTCCCTGAGTAACAATTCTGTGTCCCTGAGTAACAATTCTGTGTCCCCTGAGTAACGATTCTGTAACAATGTCCCTGAGTAACAATTCTGTGTCCTGAGTAACAATTCTGTGTCCCTGAGTAACGATTCTGTTCCCTGAGTAACAATTCTGTGTTCCCTGAGTAACAATTCTGTGTCCCTGAGTAACAATTCTGTGTCTGTCCCTGAGTAACGATTCTGTGTCCCTGAGTAACAATTCTGTGTCTGTCCCTGAGTAACGATTCTGTGTCCCTGAGTAACAATTCTGTGTCCCTGAGTAACAATTCTGTGTCCCTGAGTAACGATTCTGTGTCCCTGAGTAACGATTCTGTGGCCCTAAAGTCTCTGTGGCCCTAACTCTGTCCCTAATACAGACAGGTCTGTCTCTCTTAAATGACCGGAGGCTAATGGAGAATTCTAAGATGGCCGCGATTTATAGCTCCACCATTACACAGTGCTGGCTGGCTGGCTGCTGATTGGCTAATGCGATCATATGTCATGAATGAATGCATTATGGGTCAGCGTGCCTTGTCTGCGCGCCTTCCCAGAGATCCCCGCTCCGTCGCCACACATGTCGCCGCCATTTTTTGGGAAAATTCGATTTGTGCATCCGAAGTTTGCTAATTTTCGGATTCGGCGCGAATCGAATTTTTCCTAATCTTCGAAACGAATTCCACTTCGCCATGTTCGATTCGCTCATCTCTAGTCACAATGTCAGGGTTCGCCACGGCGCATGCGCACTGAATGACACGGGTGCGCGCCGGGCACCAATGACAGTGCAGGGCACATTTATTTAAATCGCCCTGAGCTGTCACTGGTTGCCGTTTGGTCCTTTTCTGTTCCCCTGATCTGTGTACCTGTATTTGGAAAGTTGCTGACCCGGATTGCTTGACATTGCTGTACTCTCCTGCCCTGACCCCTGGCTTGCCTGACCTCTCTCCTGGATGCCCCCTGTTGGTTCTGATCTACTGTTGCTGACCTGGCGTGTGACCCGACTATTCTCTGCCCGCTGTTTTGTACCTCGCAGACCCCACGACTCCTGACCCGGCTTGTCTGACCCTGCACCTGCTCAGCCATCCATCCCGTCGGGATCGCCCGACCTCCTCACATCAGGCTCTAACTCTGCGGGAGCCCTCGGCAGATACCTCTACCATTGGTGGGTGTGCCCAGTAGTCGCGACCTGGTCTCGGAGCACTCCAAGTCCATCCCCACCATCAGGGCCCTGGTGAACAAGTGCTCCGGGACTTAGACTCCGCACTCTGGAAGCACCTGACCGGTGGATTGCTAGAGGTACCGCCGGGCGGTCCCTTACACACGTCCTGGAACATGGGTAATCGACCAAGGTCAGGAGTTTCAGTGTTCTCTAGCTCCTCATCGGCACTCTGAGCCGACAACCCTACAGGGACTCGGGAGAGTGCGTCAGCGTTGCCGTTCTCCCTACCTGACCGGAACTTGATGCGGTATTGGTATTTCGAAAGGCAAGCCAACCACCTCTGCTCAAGCGCACCGAGTTTGGCATTTTCCAGATGTGCTAACGGGTTGTTGTCCGTCATCACGGTCACCTCTGCACCGGTCAGGTACTCCATGAACTTTTCGGTCATGGCTCACACCAGTGCCAGTTGTTCCAATTTAAAGGAGCTATAGTTGTCAGGGTTATGCTCTGACTCCCTCAGAGCCCGGCTGTCATAGGCAATGACTCTCTCACGTCCATCCTGGACTTGGGATAACACAGCCCCCAGACCATGTAGACTTCCGTCAGTGTACAGCAGGAATGGGGTGTCAAACCGCGCATAAGCCAGAATCGGGGCACTGATCAGCGCCCCCTTCACTGCTTCAAAGGCCTCTTGTTGCTGGGGTCCCCACTCGATGGGATGATTCTTCGGTCCCCCCTGCAGTGCCCCTTAATAACTCGTTTAACGGACCCGACAAATGAGAAAACTTGGGTATTAACCTCCTGTAGTAGCCGGCCAGTCCAATGAACGCCAGCACCTCTCGTAGTGTACTCGGCTGGGGCCACTTCTGGACAGCCTCTACCTTGTCGGGGGTTGGCTTTACCCCCTCCTGGGTGACCAAATGTCCCAAATACTCTATCTGCTGTCGGAACAGTTGGCACTTCTTGGGCTTGATTTTGAGCCCATGGTCTCGCAGCCATCCTAA